CTCTCCCCCTCTCTCTCTCTCTCTCTCTCTCTCCCCCCCTCTCTCTCTGTCTCTCTCTCTGCTGAAGAGATGGTTTTCCGTTGCCAGCAGCTCTGAGAGCTTTAGCTCCACTTATGCTGAAACACAGATAGCGACACCTTCTTCCTCTTTTGTAGCATAAACCAATTATTATTGTGTTTTAATTTAATGCTGCTCATTTTAAGCCAAATCTCAGCAGGTGGCACAAAAGATGCTGCGTCGGCAGCGTCACGTTAATTATGGGTTTTATGTCTCATGGTTATTTAGTGTTTTAATATGAAACTATCAACCTGTAAATGAGACGAAAATCATCTATAATGCTAATGCTACATCCAGAGACAGCAGCCAAGCTCAGTGAGGGCAGCCAAGATACTGGATTTCACACTCCCACGCACACGCACACACACACACTCAGACACTCAGACACACACACTCAGACACACACAGACACACAGACACACACACACTCAGACACTCAGACACACACACTCAGACACACACAGACACACAGACACACAGACACACACACACTCAGACACTCAGACACACACACTCAGACACACACAGACACACAGACACACAGACACACACACACTCAGACACTCAGACACACACACTCAGACACACACAGACACACAGACACACAGACACACACACACTCAGACACTCAGACACACACACTCAGACACACACAGACACACAGACACACAGACACACACACACTCAGACACTCAGACACACACACTCAGACACACACAGACACACAGACACACAGACACACACACACTCAGACACTCAGACACACACACTCAGACACACACAGACACACAGACACACAGACACACACACACTCAGACACTCAGACACACACACTCAGACACACACAGACACACAGACACACAGACACACACACACTCAGACACTCAGACACACACACTCAGACACACACAGACACACAGACACACAGACACACACACACTCAGACACTCAGACACACACACTCAGACACACACAGACACACAGACACACAGACACACACACACTCAGACACTCAGACACACACACTCAGACACACACAGACACACAGACACACAGACACACACACACTCAGACACTCAGACACACACACTCAGACACACACAGACACACAGACACACAGACACACACACACTCAGACACTCAGACACACACACTCAGACACACACAGACACACAGACACACAGACACACACACACTCAGACACTCAGACACACACACTCAGACACACACAGACACACAGACACACAGACACACACACACTCAGACACTCAGACACACACACTCAGACACACACACACACTGTTATCCACTAAGCAGGTTATTTTATATTATTTTATTCCTTCACTGTTTTCAGTTCCTTCTCTTATCTGGTGTCTCGCTGTGTGTGTGTGTGTGTGTGTGTGTGTGTCAGGTGATAAACGGTCAGCTGGTGTTCTCAGTGACCCGCGGTTCGACCCGGCCGGTGCGTCTGCGGTTGGATCAGGTTCAGGTGGCAGACGGTCGGTGGCACGACCTCCAGTTGGAGCTGAGAGACGTTCGCAGCGGCCGTGAGACGCGCTACGTCGCCACGCTGCGGCTCGACTTCGGACTCTATCAGGTAAGAGACGTGATACAAACCTAACTGACTTACTGTTCCAGCCATAAGGTCACAGTTTATTAAGCAGACTAATACAGTGGAAATTAAACGCAGCAAATTCAAGTCTTTAAAAATAATTAAAACACTGTAAAATAAAGTATTTCAATCTGAGTGTAGTTTCCCCTGAAAGCACAGATGTAAATAAATAACAAGGTTTTCATCATTTCTGTTTTACTAAATCAATAAGACTTCATTTCCTTCAACAGTTAATTTCCTCTGTCCCTTTTTTCCAACTCTATAATAGATTCACAACCTTCATTAACCACGTTCATCTAGAAACAGCCTGTTTTCTTCTTCCAGCTTTAATTCTTAGATTTGATTTGATTTGCTTCTTTGAAATGTGCTTAAACTCTGATGGAACTCAGTCTAATCAGGAGGAAGCTGTAATTAGGACTGTAAAACATTTCATATGAATTAATGCAAGAAATCATTTTTAATATCCTGTAATAAACAGACTTCAGCTGCACTGAGTTTAAAGTCAGTATTTCTGTTCTCATAGAAACTTCACCGAAACACTCTCTCCTCTCACAGTGACAGACACAATGAGATATACGCTCACATCTCCCAGAATACATTTCTCCTCTCCTGTACCAAGACATTTACCCCGTCACACAACATGCAGTTATTTATTTGCAGCATTAAATCACCCAATCACCTTAAAGATCTCTGTGACACCAAAGCCCCTGAAGTGCAGAAATCCCGTTTGGTCTGAACCTTTTCACTGGTGTAAAATAATAAACACTGAACCTCTCTACGTATTTTTGAACGCTGACCTTGAGGGAGATGATCTCCTTTCCCATGATGCATTTCTTCACACCTTGAACTGTTCGTCCTGACAGTTGATATTATCATATGAAATAAATTACCTGGTTCTACATGATAATGGTATTCAGCTCTTTGTGTATCAGTTAGAATACGGCTATTAATACTGATAATCGTCTTTGCCCTTCCTGTCTCCACCCCCACCCCCACCCCCACCCCGGCCCCCCATTAGGGAACAGTGATAGTGGGAAACGAGATTCATGGTTTGAAGGTGAAACATCTGCATGTGGGAGGAGTTCTGGGCTCAGGAGAGGTTCAGAACGGGATAAGAGGATGTATACAGGTGAGGATGGTGTGTACAGGTGAGGCTGGTGTGTACAGGTGAGGATGGTGTGTACAGGTGAGGATGATGTGTACAGGTGAGGCTGGGGTGCACAGGTGAGGATGATGTGTACAGGTGAGGATGGTGTGTACAGGTGAGGATGGTGTGTACAGGTGAGGATGATGTATACAGGTGAGGATGATGTGTACAGGTGAGGATGGTGTATACAGGTGAGGATGGTGTGTACAGGTGAGGATGATGTGTGCACAGGTGAGGATGATGTGTACAGGTGAGGATGGTGTGGTACAGCGTGAGGGATGGATGGAGATGGAGGGAAGCTGGAGACATGAACCTCTCTCTGTGTCTCTCTGCAGGGCGTCCGGTTGGGTGTACGGCCTGATGCCCGCCCCTGCCCCGCCCCATCAAAAACTGTCAAAGTGGAGACTGGCTGTAATGTTGCGCAACCCCTGCGTCTCATCTCCTTGCCCCGCCCACAGCCGCTGTTCTGACCAATGGGAGCGCGCACACCTGTGTCTGTGAACCTGGTGAGTGAACAGCGCGACGATGATGTTGGGGTAGGCTAACGTGTGTTTAGGCTAACGTAGAGAGCAGCTCGTTACATGAGCTGGATGCTAACAACATTAGCAGCTACAGGCGTCACTGTTGCTGCAGTCTTGTTGTTGTTAGCCTGCGCGCCATGCTAGCTTCTGCAGTTTGCTTTTCACAGCGGAGCAAGAGAACATTTGTCTGACAGAACAGAATGTTATTCAAAACAAATGAAGGATCATGGGATCAATCATGGAGGACACCAAATGAAATGATTAGTTACTTTTTAACAAATAATGAATCGTACTTCCTGGTTCAGATCCACTGTTTTCAAAGTGTTGGAAAAGTGAGCGTGCCTGGGCGGCGCCAGAGAACTGGAGGGAGGCGCAGCATGAGAGAAAATAACTAAACAGCCTGCCTAGCTAAATCTGCATGGCTGGCAAAATGGATGG